GCCAGTCCAGTTCGCAGCTGGGGACCAGGGGTCTGGCCAGGGCTCGGATCCAGGGAGAGCCGGTAGAGAAAAACGCTGGGGATGAGAGGGAAGGAGGAAGTGCCCCTTGGAGGGAGGCATTTTTTTCTTTAATCTGAGATGAGGGTTTGAGGACCCAGAGGCTGGGGCCGGGCTCCTGCAACGGCTCTACCCATTTGCTGGCCTGATCCTCCAGAAGCATCTGTTGCTTCTTGCCCTCAGGTCTGAATAGTTACAGACTTACGAGGGCAAGAATTCCACTTGACTTCGGGATCCTGGTTGGCCCGTGGGCCTGCTCCTTGATGCCGGGCTGCGATTTTTCTAGATTACTCAGCCTTTGGGAGGGAAGCTGGGCCAAGGACAAACCCTTGGTGAGAAGAACAGACTGTTGAGAGAACAGGCCCACCTCCTCTGCCCTCCCTCCTCCTCCGGGAGGCTGGGGAGCCTGCAAACTCCCTGCAGGGGTGCGGGGCTGGCTGAGCTGAGCCTTCTCTCCATCCGCCCCTGCCAAGCCCAGCGGCTCTTGGGGAGCCTAGCTGGCAGCTCACTGACGCCTTTCCCTGCCTCCCCTTCTTACGGGTGGTGACCTCCTGGCAACCAGAAGGTCAGCGCCAACTCAGGAGCCTGAAAAGAAAACAGCTGGCAGCCCCTTCAGCAAAACTTCTAACGCTCTGGTTAACTCTGGGCACGACCCACAATGGCACGGGGGCCTTGTCCTGCTTCCTGCGCTTGCTATCTGCATGGTACTGGATGTGCTACGCAGTCCTTCAGGGCCTCTGCTTCCTCATCTGTAAAGTGGGGAGAACGGGAGCACGGACCCTGAAGGCTACCCCGAGGACGATGCAGGCCACTGAGGGAGTGGGGCACAGGGTCTGTGCGTTACCCACCATTCACCTGGGCCTCACTTGCCTGTGCCCCTCCCCTCCCACAGAAGGATTCGACCTTCTGTGAATCCAAATGACCTGTTCTTTACCAGGGGACCCTCTGCTGTGACGTAGTTTTGAAGTATGGAGAAGAGAAGTGACATGAGCCTCGCCTGAACCTCTTTGGTGACAGTCTCACCTGCCCCATCTGGCCAGCCATGTCACAGCTCCACACTCAGGCCCCACACTTGGGGTTTAACGCTCTGAGATGGTTGTCTTGAAATTCTTAATAATTCTGTTTTGGGGGTTTGGGTTGTGTAAGTGAGGCCGAGTGGGACAATGGAGCGTGTGCTGGTGGGCTTGGTTCAGAGGTTTCCGTCCCTGTCACGCAGTGGGGACCTGGGCACAGGTGCAGGAAGACTTAGAGCCAAGCCTCTGGGCCCTGCCCACCAAATTACATGGCCCCAGGCGCTGTGGGGGTCTGTATGTGCCCCACAAGTACACTGCTCCCCACGCCCCGCAAGGCACACGGCACAAAACAGTCAATAAAAATTGCCAGGACAGATCAAGAGAGATGGCAAAGAAAGGGAGTAGCTTTTTCCTGCTTTCTGATCAAAGGCCCCACATTTTCATTTTGCCCCGGACTCTGCAAACAAGGTAGCTGGCCACGGTTCCATCTGATGCACGAATCTCAGACGTGTCAGGGGATGGCCACTAGGACAGCTTTGTTGATTAGAGTCTTATCAGTATGTACTTCTCTGGCCCAGCAACTCGGTGTTACCATTAGAGACGTGCACATGGGCGTGTGTGTAAGAATGTTCACCCTTGTTCTTTCTAATAGTGAAAGCAGCCAGATGCCCCACGGTGAGGGAGGGTCCCGCACACGATCAAGGTGGAGGGCTCGGATGCCACTGTCGGAAGCGTATCGCAGGAGAGAACTTACTGGCATGAGAAAAACTCATGATATTTGCAAAAGAGGAAAAAAGGCAGTTAGCAAAGGGCCTGTACCATATGACTTCATTTGCATAGCTGCATGGGGATTATATGCCTGGGGAACATACTGGGCTGATTTACACCTAAGTACTGACAGCTGTTCTCCTTGGGTGGGCGCTTTTCTTCCCTTTCGTGGGTGTCTGTGTTTCCAACTTCCGTGCAAGGAGTGCACCTCACCTTTACCATGGCCCAGAGGCACGATGGTGCAGAGGGCAAGGTTAGTTTCGACCTGCAGAATGTGGGGCCCGACTGCCTGGGTTCAAACCCCAGCTCTGCTCCCTATAAGCTCTGTGACCTTGGGCAAGCGATTTCACATCTCTGAGCCTCATCTTCCCCATCCGTAAACAGGGAAAGTAACAGTACCTGTTATAAGGGCAGGGAGCTTAGAGCCATGCCCAGCACATAGTAAGCTGTATGTAGTGGGGTTATTTTCATAAAGAAATTATGTAAGAGAAAAATCTGAAAATGCCACAATATTAACAATGATTATTTTGGATGGTGCAGAAGTAAGTGGTTTATTTTTCCTTTTGGACGTTTCTGTCTTTCCCAAGTTAAGCATGCACTTCTTTTATAACGTGAAGGAAAATATTAAAGAAAAAAGAGGTGAAAAGGTGGTATGCTAAGTGCTGGGGAAAACAGGATGAAGTCAGGTTAGCCACCTCTGCATGCTTTTCAGGCCAAGATCAGGAGTGGATTCTGGAGCTCGTCTCTGGCCCTTATTTCAGACGTCCCATCATATTGTGTACCTTCTCATTCATAAAGGATCCAACAGCTGGTGGACAGACGCTAATGCCAAATGATAGAGTCTCACGATAAAATACTGCAGCTAAAACTCTCAGATAGATAAATATCCGTACACATGCGGAGAAACATACAGATATTGTAACTACTTGTGTCATATCTATGCTTCTATTTACTTTGTATATAATATGTATATATAGCGAGAGGGACTCTTTCACTACAGCTATTACAAAGAGTACTTGCCACCCACAGCCCCCAAATATAACCCCAAGAGACTGACCATGATATGATAATTGCTCATTTACTTGTTTTCCTCCCTTCCTAAAATTCCTGAATATGTCTTCTTTCTATCCTTGGCATGTACCACAGTGCCTGGCACATAATAGAAGTTTCCTAAAAGTCTGCTGAATGAATGAATGGATGAATGAATGAATGCGTTCAAGTAATAGCAGAGACTCATGGGTCAAGATACAGACATAGAATGAGATGTGGGATTAGCTGTTTTGCCGTGGAGATGGGTCAAGGGAGGGTCAAAGATGAGCGAGTAAGACTTTAAAGATGAGGCCCGAGTAAAGTACTGGAGGGTGACCGTGTGCTTGTCCCCACAGAAAAGGGAAAAGAATTGAAAGAAGAGTGGGACTAGCGTTCAGAGGACCCTGTAGGTGGTTCCGGGGTTCCTTTTACCCTAATTCCCTTTGAATTAAAAAGATACTTTCTGTACTTTCATTTCTCCACAAATTAAGGATATTTAATACAAATCCCAATTATCAAAAGTGAAATTTTTTTAAGTGCCATAAATGTAATGCTTTTCAGAAAGCAGGGCATGAATGGGCGGTGGGCTCAAACAGGCACCGATGAAACGTCTCTCCCAACAAGGTGAGAGAGCTTACCCAGGCGAGCTTACACCACCTGAGTGCAGGCCTTATTTTGCACCAGAGGTGACAGAGAGCCACCACCACCCCACCCCATCCCCCACCCCAGGGCAGGCAGCCTCTGGGGACAGGTGCTCCCTGAGAGTCCCGGAGTCCAGGTCCAGGCTGCTCAGGGACCACATGGTTCCTCGCTGGGAATTAGGCTATGGAAGGTTCCTGAGTTGAGTGTTGTGTGTAGCAGAGAAAGGACAAAGACAAGCCTTGAGTATTTGCCTGGACATGCTAAATCCCCATCCCTAGTTTTCTTTTCTGTCCTGGCCCAGCTTTGCAGCCCTGAATCCTTTCCAGAGAAGGCAGGGAGTAGAAAAACAAGGAGAGAGAGGGCATTTTGTTTGTTTTTGTAACAGCTTTTTTGGGATAGAATTCACATACCATAAGTTTGCCCTTTTAAATTGTACAGTTTAAGGGGGTTTGGTATATTCAGTTCTACAACCACCAACAGCATGGAATTTTAGGACATTTGCATCACCCAAGAAGAATCCCTTATACTTTAACCGTCACCCCCACACCCCCCAACTCCTCAGACCCACGCAACCACCTGCCTACTTTGTCTCCATGGACTTGCCTGTTCCGGACCCTTCATATAACTCAAATCCTACAATCCGGGTCCCTTTTGTGTCTGACTTCTTTCACTGAGCCTAATGCTTTCCAGATTCATCCATGTTGTGCAGACGATGTCTGGGTGATGCTTAAATTCACTGGTCCCGCAGACATGTACTGGTTACCGAGCACCTACTGTGTGCCAGTCCTGTGGGCCCGGCCAGGAATAAGAGCGACAGTAAACTCTTTCCTGGAAGGTTTCTAGTGGGGAAAAGAGAAAATACGCCAAGTGAATCAGAAAGTGGCTTGTGATATTCCACTGTGCTGAGAGCTGCGTGAAGTGCAAAGCTGGTTGTGACCAGAGCAGGAGTTGGGGGGTGGGGAGGGAAGTGTCCTTACCTCGAGGGGCCAGCGGGGGCCTCGGCTTGGGGTGAGCGCGGCGTACTGATGAGCTCAGCCTGGGAGGAAGTGCGGGAGCCAGGAGGCTGCCGCGATGACCCCTAGGGCTGCGCCCGAGACCGTGGCGGACCCCAGCGGGCGTTCCCAGGTGCGAGCGGGAGCGAAGGCGGAGACGAGGGCCTGCGGCCGACGGCGGGCGCCCCCACCACCGACCCCGCGCGCTGACCCCCTCCCGCCAGCGCCCACGCACCGCCCCTAGCCCGGGCCCAGCGCACCACCCTCCCTTTCGACCCCGCGCGCCGCCCCCTCCCCCTGCGCGCCGCCCCCCCCCTCCTGGGCGCAGGCCCCGCCTCGCCGCCGCCTGAGCCCACCTCCTCGCGGCCGCCGCCATTGGCCGCGCGCGCCGCCTCCGCCCTCGGCCTCGCACTTCCTGGCGGAGCCATGGCTGCGCAGCCGGCCGGCCCCAGGACTCCCGCGACCCGGCCCCGCCGCCGCGCCCGCCCGGTCCCGCCGCCGCCAGGGGTCCCCGCGCCGCTCCCGTAGCGCGCCCTCCAGGTGGGCCTCGGCGCGCGTCGGGGGGTCGGGGGGTTGGGGGACTGGGCCGGGGGCGCCCATCCTGGCGAGCGGGGAGCCCCGGCCGCGCCGCCCCCTCTCCCTGCGGGCGTCCCTGGGCGCCGGGGGACGCGGCGGGAGGGGGAACCGCAGGTGAGACAGGTGCGGCCTGCGCGGCCCGGCCTGCGCGGCCCAGGTGAGTGTCCCCGCGTCCTGCCGCGGGCGCCGGCCGGGCCGCGATCCGACTCCGCCTCCCTCCGCCGCCCCGCCGCCGGCTCGAACCTGCCCGGCGGCCGTTGTGCCGACAGTTCGGCCGGGGGGTGCGGGCGCGGGTGCGGGTGCGGGCGAGCGGCCGCGGCGCCGCGAGACCCGGGGCTGGTGAGTCGCTGCGGCGTCCGAGTCCGTTTCCCGATCGCTGGGGTCGGCCGGTTCAGGCTAGAAGCCGGGAAGCGTCTCGCAGAGCAGGCTCCCCGGGGACCCTCCGTCCGGATGTCGCCTCTGTTCCCGTGTTTACTCAAAGACCTTTTAACGCGGAACCGGGGATCGCCCCTGCCCCTGTGGATGGCCTTGACCCCTTCGTCTGCCTCCGGGAAGCACGGGAGGCGGCTGACACCCAGCGCTCCTGCGCGCGTTGGCCCCGAACCGCTTGCCCCGAGACAAAAGGGAGCCTCCAGCAGGGGAAACTCTCCCAAGAAATCTTGGCCTAGAAACGAAAGCTTTCATCGCAGAGAGGGAACCTGAGCCCTGGATGGCTGCAGGGGTGGTGGGGAGAGAGGGACCTGCTGCTTTCTGGGGTGTGACCTTGGGTGGGCCTCTCTAGCACCTGAGCCCGGGCGTCTGCGGTGATCGCGCACCTGTCTCAGAGAGTGAAGGTAGAACGGCCAGCAGGCACTGTGTGAATGTTGGCTTCCTGCCCTTCCCTCCTGAACCCCCTAGCAGCCCCCAGGCCGTTAGGTCAGAAGGGACCGGGGTGCTACAGCTGGCCTTTGCCACAAAGTTGCAAGTTTGTCAAGAAAAATCTAGTTGCCCTTTCCTTTCCTCAGGGAGCTGGACAGGATGCACTGTGCCCCAGGTTACTCCCTTGGGAATGCTGGAGGCCCCCTCCCACCTCGGTGTGACCCCCATTATCTTGACACAGTGCTTGCTTCTTGTGACATTGTTTTATTAGCCAGGGCTGTTTGTTCAGTAGGTAACAAATGGACTCTTTGTAACTCAGAGAAAAGGGGGAAAAAATTCCTTCTTAAACCCAGTCTGTAACTTGTGCCCATGTAGCTGGCGTAGTCCTTCCTCTGTGCTCCTACACCCCCACCCCCGTCCCCCAAAGCCTGGCTCTGTGCTATTATTAGTGAATTAGTTGGCATTTCGAAGCGGGAAGAAACTCCTGTGTTGCCTGATACTCCAGCCCATCCCATAGAGATGATTATGAGGTCTAGAGAGGTGACTGTAACTGTTCAATTTTATACTGGACCTTCTAGGCAGGACGTACTGCCTGTAGGCATGTTTTTTTTTAAGATTTTGTTTATGTGACAGAGAAATCATAGGCAGAGGGAGGGGGAAGCAGGCTCCCCGCCGAGCAGAGGGCCCGATGCCAATCCCAGGACCCTGGAACCATGACCTGAGCTAAAGGCAGAGGCTTTAACACCCTGAGCCACCCACGCACCCCACTTTTTTTTTTTTTTTTTTAAATGGACAGGCAGGGTAGTTTGGGGGTTGAGAGCAAGGACGCCTCCCTGGGTTGTAGTCCCACCCCTCTGCTCCTTCCTGACTGTGTGACACTGGGCAAGTGACCATATCGCTATCAGCTTTCTCCTCCGTAAACAGAATAGTAGTTCTGGCCTCCTGAGGGTTTGGGGGGCATTAAATCAGTGAAGACCTAGGAGTGCACTTGTAGGAAAACCCCTGTGTCTAGAATGTGACTGTATTTCTTCTGTGGCTGTCATCACTGCATCACAGCCTGGCCTCCGCTGTGATATTTTAAAAGTAGGAGACTCCTGAACCCTGGGCCACAGTGAGCAGAGCTTGTGGGTAAAGGGCGCACGTCTGCCCGCTTTGAAGCTGGACGGGCTTAGGTTGGATTCCCCGCCGTTTACCAGCTTTGTGACCTGGAGCCCAGTGTCCTCACCTGTGAACGGGGATGCGACCTTAGCCCGGCAGCGGAGTAGTTGGGCTCAAATGAGATCACACACATACATCCCTTAGCCGAGTTCCTGGGTCCCCGTCCAGGCTTTGAAATGGTAACTATTGTCATTATAATTTGGATCCAGCCCAAGTCTTCCAAGAAGAAGGCTTCCTCTGGATCCAGCAGATATTTGTGGGACAAGGCCTAAAAGACGCGACGTCAGGTTTTAGTTTATAAATGATCAAAGTTAGATGCTCCATTTGCTCCTCATTCTAACCTGATTTTTTCCAACTCTGTGTCCGAGAGCTCTTGACAGTGTATGGTCTTCTCTCCCTCTTTCCTCCTGTGGCAGCACCCTGGCTGTCACTGAGGTCCGCTGGCCGAGCTATGATTAATGAATGACCTAGGGTTTGGTCTCGGAGGCTCAGAGATCCTGTTCTTGTTCCAGGGCTGCGGTCTCTTCTATGATGGAGGGAAGCCGGCAGACGCGAGTGTCACGGCCCTACAAGATCAGCGAGTCCTCCAAGGTCTGTGAGTGGGTATTCGCCGCGTGCGCAGGTCGCCTTAGCAGTATGGTGTTTTTCTGATGAGTTCGTGCCTGACAGACTGATTTTCTGTTCCTTCTCGGGGTGGTGGTAATCTCCTTAATGATGAATCGGGGGAGGTAGCAGGGACACGGAATGGAAAACGTGCCCTAAACTCAGAGGGGTAGGGGGTGGAGGGGGGGGACATTAGAACTGCACCTTGACCCGTTAGTTGTTTTCCTCAACCTGAAGACGTGGCTGGGACGGAAGAAAAGCCGCGGGATGTCTGTCCCCACATGGGGCTCAGAAAACTCCCAAGGACATATCCATTGACAAGCCAGTCACCCACCTCATGGTGGGGGCAACACGTTGCCTACCTGGCTGTTAAGGGCCCAGAATCTTCCCCCAGTCATGACCTGCTGGGACCCTACGAGCAAGTGAGGGTGGGTTCCCCAGGGCGGGCTACCAAACGGTGTTGCACTGGCCATATCAGGATCACCCCGGGAGATGGTGAGGGGAAAGGTATGGAATTAGAAATGCATATGCCCCACTCCATCCCTAACTGGCTAAATTAAAATCTGAGAGTAGGACCTGGGAATCTATACCATCAGTAGACTCTTCGGACGGCTCGGAGCAGCCCCTGTCCCCCAAAGTACTAGATGTAAGGATTGGGGGATTGGTTTGCAAGGCAGTCTCTGTTTACACCTGTCCCTCTATAAATATTGACAACACCCTATTTTTCTCTGAAAGTGGTTCTCTTGGAGATTAATAAATGCTATGGTTACCTTAGATCATGCATTTTCCTTTTTTTTTTTTTTTTAAGAGATTTTACTTATTTATTTGACAGTGAGAGAGTATGCACAAGCAGGGGAGAGGGAGAAACAGGCTCCCCCACTGAGCGGGGAGCCCAATGTGGGGCTCGATTCCAGAACCCTGGAATCATGACCTGAGCCGTAGGCGGTCGTTTAACCAGCTGAGCCACCTAGGTGCCCCCAGATCACGCATTTTCAATGCAGCCGCCATTGCTCCCAAGGGGCCACAATTGGTCCTTGGAGGTGCAGAAAGGATCCTACTTTTTTGTGTGTGTGTGATTAGAGCACAGCTATGCATACGGTTCACACACACATATGCAGAATATATGTGGTCTTTAAATTGCACGGGAACTGTTAGGAAAAATAATTTTATAAGATTGGAAAAAAGATTAAAGAACAGCACTTTACAAAGAGAGTTGTTAGCAGCCTTTAGACTTGAGGGGGAAAAAGGGGGGCAGAGTTTGTGTAGCTGTGCATGATAGGAAACCGGAGTGTAATTTTCAGGAGAAGTTGGTTCTCCAGAAAAGTGGGCTCCTGTTTCCGTGCGAGTTCCCGGGAAGGCGCTTGCCAAGCCCGGCTTTATCCGCTGTGAAAACCCAGAGCGGTCTCAAGGCTGTTTCAAAGAGGCTTTGTTTCGGACCCTGGCCACCGAGACAGGGTAGCTTTCTCAGTGTGATAGGGCTAGAAGTCTTTGTCCGTTAAAGCCACATCCTGAGTTTGTTTCTGTCTGAACCTATCCCTTGGTTAGATGGTATTTAAGCTTCTAACTTTTTGTATTAGAGAAAGAGCCCAGATGGTAAGTGTATCCTCAGTTTTCCAGACGTTAAACACATCAGTGTAGCCAGCACCTGTCCCAGTCTCCAGCTTCCAGGACTGGAGTTTTGTCTGCCCTTGAACTTAATGTAAATGGGACCCAGGGGGGTCGGTATGCCCGTGTACTTGGCTCCTTCACTGGTTAGTCCGCTTCCGAGGGTTGCTGTGGTGTACTGGGAGGTGGTTCCTTCCCAGGGTGCTAACGTCTTCCCTTCTGTGACGGCCACTGTTCATTTATCTGCTCTGAAATGTCTTCATCCATTTTAATGGTGATTTTTTTTTTTTTTTTTAAATATGAAATACCCCTTCCTAGCATTCTGGCTGGGTTTGCTATTGAGTGGCTGTGTTCCTTCACCCGCCTCTAAGGAAGGCACTAAAATAGGAAATAAATGAATGAACAGGATTAAATACCATCAACGAATGTAGGAGTTGGGGCTTCCCAATTACAGAAAACGCTGCGAGACTGTTACTAATGTCCCTTTAAAATTGGGAAGTCACGTTTGTCTGTTTTTTCCCCCCCCAAAGTTTTCATCTCTGCAGCTGCATGAAAATGACCAGAAACGGGAGGTTGTAGTTGAGACCCAGGTGAAGAGTGGAGCGTGCCTACTTAGCATGGAGACCCAGTTTTGGAAAGAGGGGCTGCCCTTCTCCCTGCTCCCGGGAGCAGATGGTCCCCTCAGCAGCTGTCATCTGTCCCCACCCCCTGCCCCTCGGGGGGCTGTTTCTCTTTTTACACTGCAGATGGGGGTTCTGTGTATACCCATTTAAGTGTGGTGGTTCCGCATCCCCACCAGCTTAGAGACTGGGCAGCTCGCCCACTCGATGCTCCTCACTTCTCGGGATTTGGAGCCTTTGCCGTCACGAGTTAGCCTGCGCTGCCATGGTGCCTTTATCCTTCCTTCCTCGAGTGCACGCCCAAGAGGAGCCCCCAAGCCAGGATGTGGTGGAGCCCAGGCCCTTTCTGCTTCATTAGAAGCCCAAACCAGGGGCGCCTGGGTGGCTCAGTGGGTTAAGCCTCTGCCTTCGGCTCAGGTCATGATCCCAGGGTCCTGGGATCAAGCCCCACATCGGGCTCTCTGCTCCGCGGGGAGCCTGCTTCCCCCTCTCTCTCTGCCTGCCTCTCTGCCTACTTGTGATCTCTGTCTGTCAAATAAGTAAATAAAATCTTAAAAAAAAAAAAAAAAAGAAGCCTAAACCAGCCCAGCCTGGTGCACTCTCTCTGCCAGTGACCAGAATAGACCAAGAGACCGTGTGTGGGACCTCGGAGAAACTGCTCTGTAATGTAACATCCGTAGAGCCTGGCTCTTGGCACTTGGAAGGAAAAGAAGCTTTGGGCAGTATGGGTCTGGTGTCCTCAGCGGAGTGTGAGAACGTGGCCCACGCCTGTGGTCTAGATGGGGTGGTTGGTGTGGGAAGTGGCTGGACCACGCAGGGACCAGAGGGAAGGAAAGTACTGCAGTCACAGATATGTGGGAGGCAGGAGGCAAAGAAGGAGATGAGACCCATGCGATAGGGCGTGGCTTGATAGGGGACCTGCAGGAACTCGGGGAGCCCTCAGCCCCTCTTCCCTAGTCCACACCCACTTCCCCTTACAGGCTTAGAGCCCAGCCAGCCCTTGCCTCAGGCACCCTCAAACAGGCCGGTGACCTCGCGGATGTGTTTGAACAGCCTCAGTCTCCCTGTGCAGAATTGTTGTTCCAATTGTTCCAAGGTCAACAAAGCAAGCAGCAGGCAGATCCTGAATGCCCGGAGCCTCACTGGTCTTCCAAGGGTGGAGGAGCTGCTGTCTCCGTCTGACAGGTCTTTGCCTCCTCCAAAGCACATGGCAGGACCATAGCACTCAGTCCATGTCTCCCAACTGGAATTGCTAGAATTAATCCATTTAACTGTTCATATTAATTATTTTGTTAATTCTGCCACTGTGTGATGATGAAAAGTTTGGGCTCTCGAATCAGACCTAGTTTTAAATCCCAGCTGTGCCACTCAGTCACTGTGGGGCTTTGGGCAAGTTTCCTTGTCTCTCTGAGCCTCAGTTTTCCTCATCTGGGAAATGGGCATGATAACAGCCCTTCCCTTGAAGGGTCCCCTTGAAGGGTCATCATGACCCTTGAATGAGCGAGGGCACGGCGTGGGACACATCTAAGACCTGCCCTGGGAGAGACCATGCTCTTGCATATTTCATGATTTCTCTCTTTTAGTCTGGGTGACGACTAGTGAAGCCGTGTTTCTGAAAGGAGGAGCCCCAGAGCTCCTTATTCTGGAAGCATTGCAGAGTCTCTGGGACCGGACACAACGCTGAATCATCAGTAGAAGTGGAGACGGGGGTGGGGTGGGGGGGGTGGGTGTTGTCCCTGAAGCATGGCTGGGTGCTGAGCACTTTTTAATAAAGAGAGAGATAGAGAGAGCAGTCTTCGTCTGGGTGTGAGGCCTTGGTGGGCGCTCCAGCTGTCCTGGAAGCAGCTCCCTGCCACAGTGTGTCTCCTGAACTCCCCATTCCTGACTGCGAAGTGCCCTCATCTCACTCGTGACACTGGGAAGCGGAGACCGAGAAGCTACTGTGGTTTCCCAAGACCACAAGCTAGTGAGTAGCAGAGCTGGGATTCAAACCCAGATTCTGTCCGAGTGTAGACTAGGCTGCTCTGAGCCACTTCACCTTTCTGATAGGACAGCAGGTTTTTTTCTTCTTCCTTTTTTAAATTAACATGTATCATCGGTTGCAGAGGCACAGGTCTGTGATTTATCAGTCTTAACATAATACCCGGTGCTGTTTCATTACGTGTCCTCCTTAAAGGACAGCAGGTTTGACACCTGTTTGTTCAGGACCCACAGTAAGAAAGAAAGGGGGCAGGGAGAGAAGAAAGAAACGTTCTAGGAATTCTATTTAGAAAGAAGAGAGGAAGGATGAGAGACCGAGAGGAAGTAAGTTTTTCAGAATTGTATATATAATGAAAGAAAGTAGGAAGGAAGGGAATGCTAGTCAGTTTTTAGGAACTGCACTTGATATACCACTTTTTTATTTTAAAGATTTTATTTATTTATTTATCTATCTATCTATCTGACCGAGAGATCACAAGTAGGCAGAGGCAGGCAGAGAGAGGAGGAAGCAGGCTCCTCGCTGAGGAGAGAGCTTGATGCGGGGCTCTATCCCAGGACCTTGGGATCACAACCTGAGCCGAAAGCAGAGGCTTAACCCAGTGAGCCGCCCAGGCGCCCTGATATACCACATTTTTTTAAAAAAAGATTTTATTTTTAAGTTCTCTCTACACCCAACCTGGGACTTGAACCCCCAACCCTGAGATCAAGAGTCTCCAGCTCCTCCGACTGAGCGAGCTGGTCGCCCCTTTAGGACTTGCGTTTGAAAAGAAAGAAGGAAAGCTGCAGCGTGCGCGCACACACACACACACACACACACACACACACACACACCCCCACGCACAGAAACACCCTTATTCCCTGCAGGCTCTCTGACCTGCCGTTCCCGTTCTCTTTCACTGTGCTGTACGTAAGTGCTGGTCGTGGGGCACCAGACGGACCCCGGGACCCCTTGGTGGGGAGCAGGGGTGCGGTGGGGGAGGGGTTGGCGTGCTCCCCCCGCCCCCACCCCGCGGTGAGCCGACCCCTGAGCCGTGCCCTCCACCGCAGGTGTACCGCTGGGCTGAGCACCCGAGCATGGTGCTGCAGCGGCTCAACGAGCAGCGTCTCCGCGGGCTCTTCTGTGACATCGTCCTGGTGGCGGACGAGCAGCGCGTGCCGGCCCACCGCAACCTGCTGGCTGTGTGCAGCGACTACTTCAACTCCATGTTCACCATCGGCATGCGCGAGGCCTTCCAGAAGGAGGTGGAGCTCGTCGGCGCCTCGTACATCGGGCTCAAGGCCGTGGTGGACTTCCTGTACGGCGGGGAGCTGGCGCTGGACGGTGGCAACATCGACTACATCCTGGAGACGGCGCACCTGCTGCAGATCTGGACGGTGGTGGACTTCTGCTGCGAGTACCTGGAGCAGGAGGTGAGCGAGGAGAACTACCTGTACCTGCAGGAGCTGGCCTCCATCTACAGCCTCAGGCGGCTGGACGCCTTCGTCGACGGCTTCATCCTGCGCCGCTTCGGCACGCTGTCCTTCACGCCCGACTTCCTGCAGAACGTGTCCGTCCAGAAGCTGTGCGCCTACCTGGGCAGCAGCGAGGTGCAGCGCGAGTGCGAGCACGACCTGCTGCGGGCCGCCCTGCAGTGGCTCACGCAGCGGCCCGAGCGCGAGGCCCACGCCTTCCAGGTGCTGGAGAACATCCACTTCCCGCTCATCCCCAAGAACGACCTGCTGCACCGTGTCAAGCCGGCCGTGTGCTCGCTGCTGCCGCGGGAGGCCAACTGCGAGGGCTTCATCGAGGAGGCGGTGCGCTACCACAACAGCCTGGCGGCCCAGCCCGTGCTGCAGACCAAGCGCACGGCGCTGCGTACCAACCAGGAGCGGCTGCTGTTCGTGGGCGGCGAGGTGTCCGAGCGCTGTCTGGAGCTCAGCGACGACACCTGCTACCTGGACGCCGCCAGCGAGCAGTGGGTCAAGGAGACACCCCTGCCGGCCCGGCGGAGCCACCACTGCGTCGCCGTGCTGGGGGGGTTCATCTTCATCGCCGGCGGCAGCTTCTCCCGGGACAATGGAGGGGACGCGGCGTCCAATCTTCTTTATAGGTATGACCCCCGCTGTAAACAGTGGATCAAGGTGAGATTAAAGCCGGATTACTTCTTTACTCTTGACGACTTTCGGTCGCTTAACCTAGCCTTGACTGCCCCCCCCCCCCCCCCCCCCCCCCCCCCCCCCCCCCCCCCC